AAGGCGCGAGAGGTCTGCCGGCAACTGGGTGTGCAACCGCACTGCGAAATTTTGGCATTTGTTATGATGAGCATTTCGATAACGCCTGCCAGAAACCGAAAAGGCCCCCATGCTTGTTCAGCGCATTTACCACGTGGTCTGTTCGGAGGGCACACACATGATAGTTCGACTGCCGTTGCCGACGATGTCCACCGTGTGCTCCATAACAAGGTGAGAGCAGGGACGGTGGCGTGCGTGAATTAGTGAGTGTGGACCTGCCCAGCATCTACCGCACTCTCTCCCTCCACCTAGATGCGATGTCAAGACAGTCAAGAAGACCGGAGGCGGGGGGAGGGCGCAGGTGGATGGTACAGTCGAGCCCGCACCTTGGCATTCCACTCCACACCCCCTGGTCCTAACGGTAAATGACCAGGAGGTTAGCCAACAACAAGGGGTGGCTGGCAAAACGGGAGCCGAACCTAGGCGTGCCGCCACACCCGGCCCGATCCCCAGACCACCAGTTGACCACTCCACACAAACACACAACACTGGGCCGACTGCGAGGTCCGTGTTATCCTGTCAGTTTGAAATCTTCCAAGCCACGGCTTTTAGCTCACCATGATAGCTTCAAACACTTCTGATTGTTTGTAGTGAGGAAAATGCGCTGAGCCGTCGACCTCACTCTTCCCCTTCCCAGGCCCCAGCCACTGTCCGTGTCGGTCGGCTGACCAATGTTGGCGCAGTACCTGAAATGTCTAGTGAACTTGGCTGCGCGCGCCACGTGGTGACGTCTCCATAGAAGATGCTTTTGGGTAGTCGCTCTTCCTCCACCAGCACGAGGTGGCCGTTCCAACGCAGGTTCAGATGTCTGAACATGGCGTAGATGTTGAGGATTCCCGTCCACTCCAGTACATTCGTGTCCGGGATCCGGTCCTGTCACCTCGACTTCACTATTCGTCAAGGACAGTTGAGATGGAAGTGTTTGAGTCTCTGCGCCTGCTACTTGTATATCGTCCAGGTCCCCGCTCCGTACAGCAGAGTCGACAGGATGACCGCTTTGTAAATCTTCACTTTGGTGTTGAGGTGGAGACCGTGGCGATTTCGGACTGTGATTCGCAGACGGCCGAAGGCTTGGCTGCCTTTTGAGATCCGGTAGGTCACTTCGTAGTTGATCTGTTTGGTGCGGTAGAGAGTGCTGCCCAGGTAGGTGAAGTTGTCCGCGATTTGCAGTTGGGTGTCGTTCACGTTGATTTGGCAGCTTCGGGTGGCGCTCGATGCATAACCATCGCTCTCTCCGTCTTGATGACTAGGCCGAAGTTGTAGCAGGCGGCGGGAAAGAGATTCATGCTCCTTTGCACCTGCCCTTCCGAGGTGGCGTTGAGTGCGCGGCCTTCGGTCGTTGTGGATATACGCGACTGGAAGTGCATCCGTCGGCGGTTTACGAGCTGGCCGTTCGTCGTGTAGGCGATGCGGATTCCGGGACGTTCGTCACGGTCGGCGTCCAACAGTATGGCAGTGAACATGAAACCAAAGAGGGTAGGCTCGAGGACGCAGCCCTGCTTTACTCCGATGGGTCACTGAGAATGCCTCTGAGACAGCTCCGTTGTCCGTGACTCGCCCTATCATGCCATCGTGGAACTGACACACCCTCTGAGTGAATCGCTCTGGACGGCCGAATTTCTGCATCATTTTCTCCAGTTCTTCGTGATTTATCATGTCGAAGGCTTTGGTCATGTCCACGAAGGTAGAGTACAGGTGGGTCCGCATCTCCTGACACTTCTCCTGCAGTTGACGGGCGGAGAAGATTATGTCCGTGGTCCCACGATGGTGACGAAAGCCGCACTGGCTTTCCGGCAGGAGACCTTGTTCCAGATGGTGGTCCAGGAGGTTAAGGAGAATACAAACGAAGATTTCCCCGGCGATAATCAGCAACGAAGTGCCTGAATGGTTGTCACAGAGTCGACGGTTACCTTTCCGCTTATAGAGATGGACAAATTTGTAGTCCTTGAAGTTCTGCAGTATTTCTCCTTGGCGGTTCTTCACGCCGAGCAGGTTGCTGATGACGGCGTCGTTGTCACTGAACTAGTCCTGATGCCGATGTCGTGCGTGACCGAGGACAGCCAGGGCTGTCGACTGGACCGTGTCCTTCAATGGACACCATCGGTTCTCCGCGGAGGCGTTCTCGTCGTCGGCGGTGGCGGCGGCGACGACGGGCTCACTGTTAGCTAGCTCACTGCTGTATCGGAGATGGTGGGCAGACAGAGACAACAAATCAGTATTTAGCCTACCCTGGGCATCGCTTACTTTGAGGTCTCCTGCTAGGCTGTAGGCGAATTCGCATTTTGGAGATGACGAGACTATGATCGGTCCACCCGTCGGCATCCGGGATCGCCTTTGTCACCAGCAGGTCCCGCCGGTCTCGCATCCGGACGACGACATTGTCCAGCAGGTGCCAGCGTCGCGAGCGAGGGTGCATCCAGATAGCCATCTCTCGCAACGGGAGGTGGAAGTGGGTGTTTGTCAGGGAGAACCAGTGTTCTGAGTAGGTTTGTAGGAGGACCAAGCCATTGAGGTTGGAGCCCTTGAGACTATGGGGACCTAGCACTCCTCTTCAGGCTGCATGATCTGTGCCGACGGGGACGTTGAAGTCACCAAGGGCAATAAACTTATCCGCCACCGACACAGTCGCCAGGAGGGCATGCAGGTTCTCGAAGAATTTGTTTCTTGCGTCGTCAGGGCTGGTGATCGACGGAGCGTAGGCGCTGATGATGGTGGCGAATTTGCCTCCCCGTTGAGTTAGGCGGAGGCTCAGCAAGCGATCGCCGATGCCCTGCGGCAGACAGGGCAGTCATCCCACGATGTCGTTCCGGATGGCAAAGGCGACACCCGCGTCTCGTCGCTCTGCCCTGGGAGGACAGCACCAGAAGAAGGTTCAGCCGGCACCCACTTCCTCCAGTTGACCTTGTTCGTGGAACCCAGTCTCATTGAGTGCGACGATGTCCGCCTTGTAGTGAGTCAGTTCCCAAGCTACTAGCGCCATCCTCCGCTGCGGTCGGTAGCTCCTTGGGCTGTCTATGTGCCTAGGTGCGGAGTTTTTTTCCTTGCCAGTCAGAGGCGTACCAGGCGGGAGAGGAGGGGTGAGTACTAACTCACTCACAAGCCACAGTTCGCGCCTTCACCATAATGTGGAACATGCAGCGGTCATCGTCGGCAACGACGGTTGTGTGTGTGTGTGGTTGTGGGTGTTGTGTGTGCTGCTGGATAGGTTGCTCGTAAATAGTGCCTACTGGACTACGAGATAACTGGGTAAATAGAACCAAGCGTGAACATGGGCCAATAATGCCGAGATCGCAGTTCTGTGCACTTTTTCTCTAATTTGGGGATTTTTGCTAATTGATTTTGGTCGAAGGTTTTGCGGTTCACATAACGCCTGCCTGTCGAGGGCGCCAGGGTTAGGCATACGTGCTTTTGCAGTGACACAGCGCTCAGTCAGGGTTTTGGCAACTGAAGACGGCCTTAATTGAAGCCAGAGTCTCAAATTGACGTCACTATTTTCCCGATTTTTATGACGTCCACGTCTTTATTTTGTCTACATCAAACGTAACCTTTTAAGCCGCAGTTGAGGACAGCACAGAGTCTTGCTTTTGGGCCGTCAGTCCTTGCTGAGTCTTCCATATCTCTATTTATATTTATACATCATTTCTGAATCTACCCAGGCTGACTTGCCGTTTTGGCACAATCCCCTCCCTTCTCGGGGATGATGTGTCGACAGGGTCACTAATATTTGAGATGTCGAATGGGGGTGGGACGCCGTCGGGTTGAATAGTTTTCTTTGAATTCTGGATTTTCTCAAATGTCGGAAGAAGTCCGTCTGTTGCTTGCTTAATCACACCAGTTTGCCAGTAGAAATTGCCCTTTAAGCCAACATTAAGCGACGTTCTATGTGCGGAGTTTACTGCCTACATCACCTCAAAAGGCGCGGTCTACCCCGGCGTGTCCACACATGGCAGCGAAGTAAGCAGCCAATCTGGCCTGACGAATAATTGCATCGATAGAGGATGCATCTGAAGTAATCCCGCGTCTGAGACTCTTTCCTCAGTAGACTCCCACCAACGGAGCTGAAAACCGCTGAATTTCCAGTGGATTGATAATAGGTTCGGAGAAGTTCCTCATTTCATCCCAGATCTGCGTGTCCACGGATTTTCTCCGCCTTAACTGTCATCTGGTTGCAGGTAATGACGATGTTGGAGGTCTGTAGCCTCCATAGGCTGTGTGTCTATTCATGTTAATCCCACAGATGTGATTTTCCGCAGATACCGACTGCCGCATTTCGAGTGCGGTAAATGCAGAGCAAATCTTCTATCACTACAAACTAATTCACGCGCAAATCGACGTCCCAGCTGGCGGTGGACATCGTCGAAAAGGATGGTTGAACTGGCGTACGTGGTTCGCGAAGGCAGTTGCGCGTTCCATCTGCTGCATGGGGGTTTAGCAAAAAAACAGTACCACGTGGGTGCAAGCTTCACGCACCACCTGAATGTGATTTGGCAAATCAAAGTGACTTATTTCTACAGTTCCCAACCGGTGCCAAGTGACAGACAGAATCTCCATTCATGGTTTGCCTTATCTCACAGTGATACAGGCCGCTCCACATTTCCCTCTGGATGACGCACCAACATTGGGGATGCGGTTGCAGATCCAGTTGCAGACCCAGTTGTAACACCAACTGGGATCTCTGCCACCTCCTTCCCATATTCGTTGTCGCTGAAAACTCTGTTCATGTGTTTGTTGTGGATCAGGAAGCGTGGTGGTATGCCTAGGTGCTAGTTTTCGCCATGCCAACCCTCCGTGCGCCCTCTCCTACCCCCGGTCTTGCTGACTATGATCTAACACACATGCGACCACATGGGAAAGCAGATGAGTGTTCAGTCTGCTGCAGACCGGTTTACTGAAAACAGTACCACGTGAGTGCAAGCTGAACACACCACCTAAAAATAAGTTGTAAGAACAAAAAAATCCAGTCCTATAGTCCCAACCCTGTGCCAAATCACAGAGAGAATTTCCACTATTGGCTAAGTTTGACCAACAATGATACAGGCCGTCAGACATTCACTTCTGTGAGGTCTTTGCTTGAAGGATAAGACTCAAATTAAAAAAAAAACATTTAACCCTACTCAGTTCGCTTTAATTAATTTTGCCAGCGGGACTTCAAGAACATACGCACTAGCCGCCCACTGAATGATATTAACTGAGAGTAAATCCATGTCAATACTTTAGCGTGTAGGACTTTGTGGGCTGCTGCCCCGTAGTTTTCCCACTAATGCTTCTTTAACTAGCAAGTCGTGTGCCACTGGGCGGCTACAATTACTTTTAAGAAGACCAGTTGGCGAGCCGAGGTTTCCTATCGATAAATTCGTTTCGGGCCGGTACATTCCTGCTAGAACAGGGTACAAGTAAGGCCTGTGAGTGATTAGAGAGACGAATTAATGTTCGTCTTTCATTTTTTGCGGATGCGGTGTAAAAAGACACAGTGAGGGGTAGAATGTGTCGTGTCAGGAGAGCACGGTGAAGCCAATGATGTTAATCGGTGAATTTTTGATGTACTTATAAATTCAAGCTTATTGTAAATGAAACATGCACAGGAATATTTCCTCTTGTACTCAAATGATGGCAGATTGCGTTCTCTTTGAAGTTTCTACTTGGAGATACCGTGTCTTTCGGCCTATGAAACCCTTTCTAATTCCCGAATAACTTTTTGCAGACCTGACGTCGCGCTTGCATTCAGAGTTTTCAAACTACATGTGATGTACATCCCGTCAACAATAGGGTATGGGACCTGGCAATTCCAAAAATATACCCTGAAATTCAGTGTGAATGTACACATCACTTATTATTCACCGTTCCCATTGTTTGCAATTTCCTTCCCTTCCTGACTAAATGTATACTTACATACGAAAAGACTTTTGACAGAAATTTAGGCTAGAGCTTATTTGGCAGCGGTACTTGTTAGGGGTATGGATAGAGGCTAAAGGTTTGGGTAGGGGTTGGGGTTAGGGGCTAGGGGTTAGGTTGGGGCTGTCCACTGCAAGTACGACTACGAACTTTGATTCGACCGAAATTCATTTATTTGCTGTGTCTCTCAGCTCTCAGTACTGTGTGTTTTCGCACCGTAAAACCCCCTCTACCACCATTCAACGCATGACACGGTCCACGGGCTAGCTCAAGTTAGTTAGAGGTGCTACACAGCTATCGAATCAAAATTTCCTAGTGGGTTTAGGGTCGAGTTTAATAGTTTAAGTTTGATAATTAGCATTAACAAATGTGTTGACGTAATGCTGAAGGAATGGACATTTAAAAGTTTTAAAGAATCTCATAATTATAAACTTTTTTGAAAGCCTATTTTACTATCTTTTCAAGCAAAAGAATTTGAGGAAGATGCAATTTCCAATCAAATAAGTAGAAAAAAGAATATTTTTGTGCATCCATCCTGCAAGATATAATTGGCTCAACAAGGACATCAAGAATCAATGAGCGAAATCCATACTTCTTAAGTAGTCACTTTTACAGAAGGTAGTTTGTATAAACGACTGCAAAAAATTCCTCATAATCCGGCATCCTGGCATGTCTGTAACATCAAGGGATTATGCCTCACGGCAGTTTGTATAACAGCCTTACTTAAGTAAACTTTTCGAGTCGAAAACACATTTCAGATTTTCAGATAGTGTAGCTGATGTAAATCGACAAACGACAAGGAGTAGTCACATGCCCTATGACTCATATTACCTCATGAGGTAATGCTCCCGTTATGGGGGCGTCCGCTCAGAAGCGCAAAAGTGGTATCCACCAACTAATTTATTCGTTCTGGGAATCTGATTTTCCCTGAACATTTTGACGCGCACGGTTGAGGTAGCAAAAAGTTCACTGACACGATCGGCATGGGATAGAGGTTGTGAAGGATAAATCCGCTTAGACAGTACTAGGGTTACAGGATACCCCACTGGCGGTACAGGTACCGGTTAAAAGCCCATACACACGTGTTTCGCCAATCTTCTGTAAATGCACAACACAGCTGCGAGGGTTTCGGTTCGGCAGTGTGTCTCCGAGCCCTCCGCGTGTGCTTTTTGGCACCTACTGTGTACCACAGTAGTTGAGTCCACAGTGCGTACAGTAAGTGGACTAACTCATGAAATGTCAACCAAAATTCAGAAATGCGTTTCCGTTTCGAAAAG